TTGGCGGTAGTTGGGGGCTACGCTGAGGCGGGCAGGGCGCGGTGCTCGGCTCGGCGGGGCTGCGGCCTGAGGAGAAATGGTGTTGCCTCAGCCTCTCCCCCCACCCGTGCTCTCGCTGGTGAACGCGTCTCCCTTCAGGCGGCCCCTCGGTTCCATCTCGCCGCGGTTGGCAATGGTGTTCCTGTGGAGCCGGGCCTGGGCGCGTCCCTGTGAAACCGCATTGAGGCGGCTTTGTAGGGCTCCGAGTACTCCGGCGGGGTCGGTGCCGCCCCGTGTTGGGGATACCTGCAGTCCTCCCGCTCTGTCATAGTCCTGTGGCTCTCCGGTGTCCTGACAGGAGCTTGCTGGACTCCCCTGGGAGAATGAGGGGTGACAGAGCCGTGCTGTGCACAGGCCTGTCCCTGCGGACCAGCCTGGGACTGCCACACCCGTGGGGATGTGCTGGTGCATGAGTTTCCCTTGCAAATATTTTACAAGCTGCTAATGTGGAATTTTCTGCTGCAAAGAGCTAACACTTCTTGAAAACCTGATGACTACTTATGCCAGCTTTATATATGGAGAGATCTTTTTAGCACTTAAGGTCTTCAGATTGACAGATTTTTGCTAAAAGAGACAGTCTTCCATTAAAATGTTTTCCTTGTGTAAGAATACAAAATTTTTTAAGAACATTAACATAAAATTGAAGCAGACATAAATGAAGTGTGGGCAATCATGAAATCTGCTTAAAATGTTCAGCGCTGGTCATTCAATTTTACACAAGTTTACTTATTTTATTGTTAGACAAACTCAACAAGGATTAAAATAACCAATAAAGGATTAGACAGATTTAGGCTAAGCTATTTAAAGAAAATGCAATGTTAATTAAACTGACTTAAGTAATTCAGATTAATCAGTGATGCCTCAGACATTAAATGAAGACAAAGACGATGGAAGTCTGGCCAGAGATGAGAAGAATAATTCAAACTGCAGCTAATATCTTGATTCTTGCCCTCCACGCACTTCAGATAAAGGCATGATGAAGCACAGTTCACGTGCAGTGTATCTAATGTTAAATGCATCTAAGCAGCTCCCTGCAATCATGGCAAGAAAGTGACGGTTTTGATGTCTTGCGTTGAAAAGATAGTTGTCCATCAGGCCTGTGAGCATGTTCATCCTCAACTGGGAGAGGTGAGTAATCCCACTGGTGGCAATGATGCTTCCTACTGGTGTGACATTAGCACATACAGAATTATCTGCAGGACGCTGTTTCCCTTGGATTTTGCATTTAACTTAAGGATCCCACTGAAATGCACTTTTTTTTTTTGTCAGAGATGCTCTTTTTTATCACTGGTAGATATTATTCTGAACATAATTATATTTTATAATCTATGAAACGTAGTTAGCACCTGCTGGCATTTTACTATATCATTTTATAAAATACTGTTGCTTAATGTAACACTCAACACTTACCCTTAGGGCATCATTTTTACTTGCTTTCTAATGGAAAGGTACAGTGGCTGAAACACAAATTGTCAGGATTTCATCTTGTGAATAAGAAATGTGTGTAAATGTTGTGATATTTAATTGCAAATATGACAGGTGCTGTGCAAGCAAGAACTACAGCAAGAACTCGCTGTCAGGTGGAAATATTTAACAAGCAGGTCTTGTTGGTTTATTTGAAAGAAATGGAACTTTTGAATTCAAAGGTCCTAAAAAATAAGATTTTTTTTAAAGTAGATGAAGTGTTAATTTAGACTGAAGGTATTTACTCTGAAGATTTTCTTTCCTTTTTGAGCAAATCCAACGCCTTGCTTATTAATTTTTCACGCCTTCCCCCACAAAACAATTCCGCGTAAAAGCGGTGCTCAGGGGAGCTGCCCTTGCAGCGCCATCTGAGATAATATTTAGGTCACTGGGTTTTTAATGCTGGTGCTGGTGGGAGCCGTGCTGCTCCCTCGGGAGCGCAGGAGCCAGCCACCTCTTTTCGTGTGCCGGGTGTCCTGAGTCACAGTGACTGGCGGCTGCGGGCGGACGCCACTTTCGGGCTATAGCCGTACGTGTGACAGCAGTTTAGCTTCCCCTGGGGACTGGCTTTTTGGCTGTAACTCCCTGGGGAGAGCTGGCGGGGGGGGGGGGGGGGGGGGGTGTGTGTAAGCTCAGCGTGCTTTGTTAATTCATAGCGCGATCCCACCGTGCTGGGAGCAGGGGCCAGTTAGAGATGACGTTGTTTTCTTTGTTGCTTTAGGGAAGATAATTACTTAGCTTGCTTTGCCCTCTAGTGGCGGCCAGCATAGCTTCAATGCAAACTCGGTTGCTTTGTTTAATATACATGTATAAAATTAATATTAAAAATATCCAGCCTCTAAAAGCTGAGGAAAACCACAATAAAGGTGTTTCCAGAGCTTTCCCAGGACATTAGGAACAGTGTTCCTCAATTACTGCAAGAAGGAAAGCATCATTAGTAATTTATGAAGATTTTTTTTTCCAGTTACATCCTGTCTATGTGAAAAGAACAGTGTGAATTGGGGTGGAAAAAATCAGACCAGTGTCTGCCGAAGGGCTCCAGTGCTTTTGTGGAGAGCGTGGTGTACCTGCCTTGATCGAGGAGTTCATCAACGTTATGTCCACCTGATGTCAGCTTGTGTCAGTTGGAGTTTACAGAGAAACACCCAGTGCGTTTTGGCTGCCTTTCTGTGAAATGCATTTGTGTGCCTTCTTAGTGAAGACATAAGAAATTAGGGTGACAATGCAGAGCTACGTTTCTTTTGCCTTTTCTCAAAGTGCTTGTTCATGCAGAGAGCTATCACACAATGGGGAGAGGGTAGGCTGAAATACCACGCTGCCTTCTGGTGCCTCCTCTGTGGTCAGGCCGTATCTGTGTCTTGTCCACTCCCCAGCTGCTGAGGGACAGCCTGGGCAGGATGAGGCCATCCCTCTGGGTGTTTTTTGCTGAAGTTGACAGTGTTGGGGTTTTTTTCTGTTGTTGTTCTTAAGGAAAAGGAGAGTGTTCAGTTGTATCGCCATCCTGAACTGGCTGATTACGTTGCTGTAGGAAAGCCCAAGAGACAAGCAGTGGCCTGTGGCTGCAGATAAGCCTTTGGTGGGAAGCCACCCCCTGTGACAATGGTGCTTTGGGGCAGCTCGCCTGCCATGGCCCTGTATCCTGAGGACGCAGAGGGTTCCGTAGGTCTTCAAAGGGCTGACACAGATAAGACGAGAGTAGTCATACGATGTTGCTTAATATAATTGTTCTACTTAATGAGGAGCATCGAAGAGGTCCTGTGTGGTAATTTCCTAACTTTCGTAATGACATCCGCTAGCAAAGAAACATTCAGCATCCCTTGATCTGAGCCTGCTTGCCTCATTCCCGCTTTACGCTTTGCAGCCGGACTTCCCCAATGTTGCAGGACGTGTACAAGACCTGTCGTGAGCTTCTCACCAGGGCCGCAATGCCGAAGGCTCTTCCTTGCCACGGCTCTGTGGTGTTGCCGTGTTTTAGCCGCCCTTGTTACAGAGTAGGGGTTACACCAGAAGGGCTTTAACACTTGAGCGTTGTCTGTTCTCCAGGCAAGCTTCGAGGATGGAATTAATAGACTTAAATTTGCACCGAGGAGATTGAAGCTAGACATCGCATAAAGCAGTTTAATAATTTCGCAGAGTGGAGCTTTACAGCCCCACTGGAACCAGGGGTGCCCGGGCCCCGCGGTGAGGAGGCGGGGGCTGCGAGGCGGCGCAGGAGGGAGGAAGTATTGCCGATGCACCGTCAGGCCGGACAGGGCGGGGGTACGTCCTAGCCACCGCTCCCGGGGCAGGAACGAGCCGGCGGGGCCCGCTCCCGGCGGGGTCTCCTACCCACGTGGCGGGGCCCTGCTGCGGAAGGGCGTTACTTTCCGGGCAGCCAATCAGAGCGTGGGTTACCCTTCACACGGACCAATCAGCGCCCAGGGAACTCACATTTAAACCCTGTTCCCGGGAGTTGCGATCGTCTCCGTGTGGCAGGGAGAGGGCGGGGTGCGGCTCTGCGCGCCAATCAGGGGCGCGGAAGCGGTTATCGGCACGCGGTTAAGCCAATGGGGTTGCGGAGGGGAGCGCGGCGTCTCCCTGCGGAGCGGTTGGTTTCGGCGGGGGGCCCCCCCCGG